TTTAATATAAGTTTTTTTTAATGATCAGAGCCTCCGGTTGTCGAGCACTGGTCGCAGAGACTTCACGATTGGAGAAATTGTTAATCTAATGGCTATCGACACCTCAAGAATCGTAGAGTTTGTTCAGATAATCAACGAGACCTGGTCATCACCACTTCAGATTGCAGTCGCTATGTATTTATTATGGCAACAGTTAGGAATAGCATCCTTAGCCGGTATGACTACCTTTACAACACAGGGAATAAAATTATCCTAATTTCTAACCACAAACCCGTTGATCACACGTAGGTCTGGGAGCGATGCTGATCCTCATCCCAATCAATGGCTACATAACCGGCAAAATGCGTTACATTACTAACAGACTTATGTTACACAAAGACAAGAGGATTAAGTTAATGAACGAAATACTGAGTGGTATTAAAGTGTTGAAACTATACGCTTGGGAACAGTCTTTCGACGACCAGGTGATGGAGAAGCGTAACAATGAGGTCAAACAGTTGACCACAAGGGCCTACTTCCAGGGTGCCATGGTCTACATATTCAACTCGGCCACTTTTCTAGTGAGATATTAAGACATTTATCTTATTTTATGGTTTATTGATTTACATTTTGGTTTAGGTGTCGATCACTAGTTTCACGACATTTGTCTTAATGGACTCAAATAATATACTAACCCCACAGAAGGCATTTGTCTCCCTTTCCCTGTTCAATCAGCTACGGTTCCCATTGAATCTCATGCCCCGACTTATCTCCTTCTATGCAATGGTTTGTAATTTTGTATAAAAGTTACTTTAAATCACTAATCACTTTCTGGTCCATAGTTTTCAGTGTCTATAAAACGTATCAATAAGTATATGTCTGGCCATGAGATCGACTCCCAGTCCATAACCCGCGATATAAAAAGCAAAGACGCTATTGTCGTGGAGAAGGCGTCCTTTTCGTGGACCAAATCCGATAATCAGACACTTTCTGACATAACCCTAACTGTCCCCAAGAATAAGCTGATCGCAATTGTGGGACAAGTCGGGGCCGGCAAGTCGTCCCTATTACACGCCCTGTTGGGCGATATGAACAAGGTGAAGGGCACTATCAATATCAATGGCAGCGTAGCGTTTGTACCCCAACAGGCCTGGATACAAAACGCTACCCTCAGACAAAATATCATATACACGAACCCTTTGGACGAGAAAAAGCTGAACAAAATTATAGATAACTGCGCTCTGGTTCAGGATCTCGAGATACTTCCCGGCGGACAGACCACTGAGATCGGCGAGAAAGGCATCAATTTGTCGGGTGAGCGCCGGCTGTTTAGCTATCACTGAGTATTTCGTAACAAATTAACTAATTTGTAATTTTTTTATTGTTTGTATGACAGGGGGTCAGAAACAGAGGGTATCGATGGCGAGGGCCTGTTATTCGGACTCCGATGTCTACCTATTGGACGACCCCTTATCCGCATTGGACGCCAATGTAGGCAAACATATCTTTGACAAAGTCATTGGACCCAATGGTATGCTCAAGAATAAGACCAGAGTTTTGGTGACACACCGGATATCAGTCAACAGATTTACGCTACTTTATCACCAGTACTTCTTACCCGAGTAGAGACTCACGCCAAGTATAGTCGTTGACAACTTTTTGCCGCCGCTAAAGCGTCTCAAAGACAACAGCGTGTAGTGTCTTCCTGCCGATGAAGACATGGATGAGGAGGAACTGGCGCTCATCGACGAAGTGGTCAAAAGCGGCAGTTTTGAGAGGCAGACGTCGTTGACAAAGAGCACCGGTAGCATATCCGAAGCCATTGAGCGGAAACGGACTCAAAGTAATGTCTCGAAAGTGTCTAAATTGAGTGCAAACCAAGACGTGTCCAAAACGGATGAAACGAAAAAACGCAAGAAAATGTCAAAACTGACTGAATCTGAAAAATCCGAAACCGGATCAGTCAAGTGGAGTGTCTATTGGGCGTACTTTGTCGCCTAGCCATAACACCCGTGGCAACGATATGAGTATAGCATGTATCGCAGGTCACCAAAGTTACACCCCAGCTCAGTCACCGACAGGGAGACCTCGCTGCTGCGGTTGCTGGGGCTCTCCCAGCACGACATCCGGTGGCGGAACATACGGCTCGGCATATACGGGGTGTTGGGCTGCGGGGAGGCTATCTTTTTGTTCATATCTGCCATTACCATGAATTTGGCGACACTAAGAGGTGCCCGGATATTGCACAACGATATGTTGCACCACATATTCCGAGCACCTATGTCATTTTTTGATACCACTCCTATGGGACGGATATATTTGGCTAAGAGCGCTCTGCAGCTATAGACGCTGTGATACAACCCATACTTATAGGCCTACTGAAACTACGTCTGTAAAGCACGGTATAGCCGGTAACACCACTACCGGTAGCTTTGCGGTAATCAACTGGTATTCCTACTCCCCATAGGACTCGTATATATGTTTGTTCAGCGCCTATACATCCCGACCTCTCGCCAGTTGCGGCGAATTGAGTCGACCACTCGATCGCCAATTTATATACACTTTTCAGAGACACTTACCGGTGCCACCAGTATCAGGGCCTACGGGTCAGTCGACAAGTTTATCGATGAATCAAATAAAAGGGTAGATATGAATAATATGAGTACTTTTGCGGCTACTCTGACCAGCTGTTGGCTGTCCATACGTCTGGAGTTTTTGGGATATTGTATAATATTTGTGAACGCGATGTATGCCGTGATTGCTAGAAAAACGTTGAGTCCCGGTGTGGCCGGACTTACGCTCAGTTACGCCATGACTATCACCCGGACGTTGAATAACTTGATCCGTGCGACCACTCAATTGGAGACCAATATTGTATCGGTTGAGCGGTGTCTGGAGTACACACAAACTCCATTAGAGGTATGTATCCAAGACTTTATCCTAATTTTAATCCTATATTAATAAATAAAACTTTTTTACATTAATTTTAGGCTCTATGGCACAAACCCGAGGCTCAGCCGGTGGCTGAGTGGCCACAAAAGGGTTGTATAGCTTTTAATGGCTACAGCACCAGATATAGAGAGGGATTGGATCTGGTTTTGAAAGAGATATCATTTGACATNTAATTTTAATCCTATATTAATAAATAAAACTTTTTTACATTAATTTTAGGCTCTATGGCACAAACCCGAGGCTCAGCCGGTGGCTGAGTGGCCACAAAAGGGTTGTATAGCTTTTAATGGCTACAGCACCAGATATAGAGAGGGATTGGATCTGGTTTTGAAAGAGATATCATTTGACATCACCGCCGGCCATAGAGTGGGAGTAGTAGGCCGGACAGGTGCCGGCAAATCATCGCTGACATTAGCCCTCTTTAGACTCATAGAGTCTGCGGGCGGTTCCATAGCCATCGATGGCGTCGATATCAGCACAATAGGTCTCTATGACCTGCGCTCGCGGATAACAATCATACCTCAGGATCCGGTCCTATTCACTGGCACCTTAAGACTCAATTTGGATCCATTCGAGAAGCACTCGGACGCCGACATATGGCAGGCGCTAGAGTTGGCACATCTCAAAGAGTTTGTGGATTCACTCGATGAAGGACTCAGCCATCCGGTGAGCGAAGGGGGCGACAACTTGAGTGTCGGCCAAAAGCAGTTGATATGTTTGGCGCGGGCACTGTTACGCAAATCCAAGATCATTGTGTTGGATGAGGCGACCGCTGCGGTCGACATCGAGACCGATGAGCTGATCCAACGCACCATTAGGACTGAGTTTAATGACTGTACGATCGTTACGATTGCTCACCGGTTGAATACGATTCTGGATTACGATAGGGTTGTCGTTATGAGCAAAGGACAGATAGCTGAATATGATTCCCCACAAGAACTCCTAAATAACCCCCTGTCCATATTTCATTCAATGGCTAAGGATTCTGGACATATATAAGGGTTTGGATATTGAGTAAAAGTTTTTTTAAACACATTATTTTTTCGCTAATCGTATCTACTTTTCATTTATTTATAACTATAATTACATTTTATTTTTAATACAATAATTATTTTAATACTGATTATGAAACAGTCGTTGAAATTAATTTTACACATTCGTTGAATTTTATACTAATTACACATTAAGAAAATATTGATATAATAAAAAACAGTTGAAATATAAAAAACTTATTAAAAGTCGGTTAAAAATTGAGATAATATAACAAAAATGTTAAGAATTGAGAATTTCTTACAGAAAACAACACTTAATATAATATAACAAAAACTTGACACAAGATTACAGCCATTTGTTGCGTTTGGCGTGATCTCTGCAGATAATGGGATGACTAGGCTTTTGGTTGCAACCGACCACTTGAAAGGGGAAGTGTTGGTCGTAGTGCTCGTCAAAACTCTTAGCATCGAGGAAGCCATCCCTACATATGAAGCACTGATAATAACCCCAACCCTTGAATTGAGACCTCTTTTTGCATTGCTTTGCCTTGTGGTCCGTGTAGTCACCGAAAGGCACCCTTTCATCGCACCAGATACAGGTCACGTCACCGTCGGGATCAGCTTCCGTGGGATCAGTCTTGACGACGTCCGCCGGCACCAGTGGTTTGGGTTTCTTTCTTCTCATGTACTCGTTGTGCCAGAAGTAATAGGGCGGTGCGTATCGACACACAGCCTGTCTAAAGGGTTTGCTTCGCACCCGTAAGGGACCAAATGTGGCGAAACGACCGCTTTTTAGGCTACGCCTGATCTGAGACTCCTTGTAGTTTGGGTAGCGCCGGGATGCTATGGGCACTGTGTCCGCAATCAGTCCCCTCTTAAGGCGCTCCAACTTCTCGGACAAGTCGGGTATTATGGTCGCGCCTACTCTCGGCTTTTTAGCTGCCATTACTTTGATAGCAATTGAGTCGATAATAAATACAATTAAAAATATACCGTAAATAGCACTTAAATATATCCAAAAAGCAGTAGTTTTATTGGTTTTTCAAATTATTACTTCATAATTCACAATTCAAATTCATAATTCACACATTAATCAAAAACATATTTTATATAATTATTATTCAGAGTTTCAGACAATTAAGTAAATATTAAAAATTAAATAATTTAAATACAGCACTAATTACTAAAGCATTCAATTAATTATAGTGTTAATTGCGGACAACTTTTTCACTGCTTTCTTTTGCAGCAACTCTTTCGACAGTTTTCGTTGTATTAAAACTTTTCTCTTACTCTCATCGCTACTAATGGTATTATTTTGAACATTTTGTGACAAAACCTGACTGAAAACATTGTTACGCTGGAGTTTAAACATTAATCTTGAGCGTTTGCCTGATGATAATGAGGTGTTTAGACTCATAGGTTTGCAATCAGTGCCAATTGGTTTGCTATCAGTGACCACAGGTTTAGTAGGAGTTGTGGCCTGAGCCTTGGGCTCAATCATTGGCTCAATAGTTGTATTTTTACGAGAAACTATTGAAGCTATCGATTGATTACCGGTTTTGTCATCACATTTAGGTTTCACTTCATTTGTATCATCTTTTGTCACACCATTTGTCGACTCTTTTATCGTAATTTTCTCCACTTTTGACAAAACACTCCTCACTATAACCTCACTGTTAATCGTTTTACGATCCCTTATCTTATCAGATGTCTTGTCATTTCTTTCACTTTTGGTGCCGTTTCTTGAGTCAGTTCTTAAGTTCAACACTTCATGTGAACTCTTCTCATGACTTTTAGACTCAAGAGAAGACTTTGAAGAACTCTTAGATCTATGGCTTTGGTGTGACTTATGTTTCGTCGAACCCTTCTTCTCCTTCTTATCCGTAGTTTTTGAACGCTTTTCACTTTTTTCTCTCTTTTTCTTCGGCACCACTTTGTCTCGAACCCGATCCGAGTCTTGAGATTGACTTTGATTTGACTGCTTAGGAGTTCGTGACCTCTCTTTCTGTGGTCTTTGCCTTTCATTGATATCATTGACACGACTTTTCGTTTTCTTGTGATAATACTGTTCACCACTTTTGTGATCACTTTCACGACTGTCTGTGCGTTTACCGGCGTTTCGCTCTTCAAACATGTGTTTGTCATCGCATTCATTGTATTTGTGTCTCAATCTCTTGATGTGTGAGTTGTCACTCATTTCCAAACTATTGTCTCTCTTTTGCAAATTATTGTCACTCTTATGGAGAGTCTTATCAACTCTTTTCTTATTTGAATCACGTCTTTGAGATCTAATGTCTGACTGCTTTTGAATGGCATTCTCTTCGCTCAACTCGTGATCCATTTCTTCAGATATCTTAAGCTCGTTGTCATAGTCTGTGGGCTTAGTCTCCCATCCATTAGCACTTCTGTTTGAGATATTGGAGTAGTTATCATCCAATTGTCCACTTTTATCTTCAGATGATTTCCTTCTGGGATTCACTTTAAGGTCCATATTTTGGTCAACATTTTGAGTCAAAGAAGTGGTAGAATTGGTATCAATGGACGGAGTCTTGACATTAGTATTGTTATCATTAGAATTGATGGCAATCTTAGAGTTGGGATCAATGTATGTGTCTGTACTGACAAAATTTATTGGTTGGAACCGACTTATGCGACCTCTTTTGTTAATGTGGTTAAAGGGTGTCTTAAAATTGGATCCAATGGGTGTCTTAGGTGTGGACACATTCCTCTTAATGGGGTTATGCCTATTAATCGGTGGTCTGTCGGGCAGACACTCCAACTCAGGCAACAGTCGATGTGGTGTCGGTATTGGCGGAGGAATAGGGCTTAAGTGAGGCTTTTTAAGGCATTCAGGAACTGGTGGTAAGGGATCGGGGATGGGCAGGGGTTCCGGTGGTCCACCATTGCTCTGATTAGTCACATCCAACTGTTTCTGGAGTTTCTTAATACTGCTGAAGAGGAACAACCGGTGATGAGACAACTCCTGCTTCTTGTTGAGCAGCTGCACGAAACGGCTCTCCAACTGGTGGTAAGTCTGGTACACGTGCTGATACTTCTTCAGCTCATACATAACCACTTCCCTCTCCTTCAGCACCTTTTCGGTGATGTTTTCGATGTCGCGGGCATTGGTCTGCGATTTCGCCACTTCTTGCAGCAGATATCGGATGCCATCCGTCGGCGACATCTTCTCCACTCTATCGGTGATTATCTTCCGGTGATCCGCCGGCGTACTCATTGTCTGTGTGTTAATTCAAACCATGGATCAGGTGTCAGATAATTGTCTTTATTTGGTGTCCAAGAGATGTAAACATTGAGTCATTTTTGTCAACATTTCGTCATAACATTCACCGAAAGCCCATAAATAATGGCATCAATTGAGTGAAAGGGAGTCACAAACGCCTCACGTGTTTGACACGTGACACACATTCAGGGCTTCACTTCAAGCGTAACGTTATTTATGAGACACCAGTTGTCTATTGATATGATATCTAAGAAACAAAACTCAACGACTTTGTGTGGTTTGGGATCCGTTTGTGTGATATTATGATTAGGTTTCGGATGCATTTGATCCACAATTCAAGGCGTTGTTTGAGAAGATATTTATCGATAGGACGAGTGGTGCGAAATTGGGATCAATTTAACCACAATCGCAATGCCATGCGTGTGATAGAGTCGATGGCACTCACGAGTGATCATCACTTGCGTGGAAGTGCTATAAGTGACAAAAACTTGTCGAAGATATACTGGGATTTCATTACCATTTGTCCCAAATATTACGCCTTCTTTGACCTCAAGATGCATCGGTTGGTGAAAGTGTTGTCCACACTATCGGACTCTCATCTGATCTCGTGCTTAAGAACCATCACTTTATGGCAAACTAATAACAATAGCTTTCAATCAAATGTCATGAAAATGTGGATGAATTTGGACAACGAGTTGACACATCGACTTGAGATGAACGCCGCGGTTGATACTCACGAAGAGTTGTGGCAAAAGCTGGTGATCGCGAACCTCTTCTGCGGTCTAAATGTCGCTAAATATTGTAAATATAATAAACTATTGGTGAAAGTGATAGCCGATAGACAACTGGATCTATCGAAACAAGAATTGCTTCAAATCCTGTATTATCTCAATATCTACCGCATAGTCGATGACAAATACATGTCATATATCTGTCGGCAAACCGAGCGCCTCATCGATGGTATGACTTTGGATGAGATGGCGATCGTCTGCATGTCGTTCCTGAAGACTGACACTAAACTCACGCATCTCTTGTTCCGTGCGGTGATCCACAAGACATTGTCATCGATCTCTAGTCAAACAAATAGTTTTACGAAAACAGATATTTTGAAAGCCATTCGCTTTTCCTATGATTTCATATACAAACGAGAAGTCTATAAACTGATCGAAAAGTACAAACAATTGTCTAATAATAATGTGTTTGTATTGATCCAATTGATTAGACTCTTAAATGAGACCAAACTTTATGATAAGACAATAATTGACGAGACGTTCAGTCAATTAGAGGCAACACCACGGGATGACATCCATAAGATGTTTCGGGATAAATATATTGATAGATTGCTATTATGTGCTAATGATTTCCATCATGACATCCCTGTCACCACTTTAGACAATATTAGTAAATATATTGCAAGTTGTGATCAGTTAATTGAATATTTACCAAACATTTTGACTCATTTTTGTTGTAACCAATACTTTCCGAAAGATTTGATTGAACGCTGTTTTGATTCCAACTCTATTCATGTGATTGAAAGTGAGTCTCAAATAGATTTGATTGATACTTAAGTTTTATAAGAAGTTTTGTTTTTTATGTCCCACAGAGTCAGTGAATCCGGACTTTAAGACATATCTTTTAATACTGAATACTTGTCTTTCAATCGATAAATATGACGAATTTTCTCATATCTTATTGAAAGGCAAACAATTAAGTGGAATAAGACTTAAAGCATACACTAAGAGAGGGGGATTGGGACCCATATATCAATTGTATGAGACATTGAAAACGCAATTAAGTCCATCGAAAGTGCATTTGTGTCAAGTATTCCCATTCACTACTCAACCAATTCTTGTCATTAATAACAAATCAATTGATTTTTCATTCAATTGCGATACGAATGAACTGAGGGAAGGGATGTTCGCCGACTACTCTGCCATTCATGTCATTCATAACAATGATTATTCACTTAATGACAGATCCATCCTAAGAGCCATCCCTTCCCTACAGATCCGACTGTTACAACGACTTGGCTTTCGATTGTATTGTTTAGGTTACGGACAAATCAAACAATTTTTAAATAACGAACTAAATATCAATCACTTGTTTGAGAAAAGGTTTGAAAACTAAATAAAATAAAAACTAATTACTAAACACATCTCCATTTATAGCCTATACACCGATAACTCATCCATTGGTATCGTATCTAATAGTAATAAATTAGAAAAATAATTAATTTCTAAAATAAATGCATAAAAATAATTGAATAAAACTTTTATTACAATTCTCGTAATCAATTGAAAAAAGTTTCGTAACTTAACGTCATTTATGGATAGTATGGGAAAACACATGCTTTGAATGGTAAACACAAACACATGTCATCTGAAAGTAGTGTTAAATTTAATTACAAATCAAAGTATGACTCAAGAAGTAGACAATCAACCGATGACTGATCCCACGGACACGAAGAGCAAGCTCTTCGAGGGCTACAAGAGTGTGGGTCTGGTGTCGACACACGTGCCACACATCGTGCGATATATCGACAAATTGTCTCAAACCCGGGTCATTACGGTCTCCAACAACACGTTTCTGGTGTTCAATCATAAACTCAAACTCATCGAGACATGTATTTCACGCCATACTTACCACCAACTCATTCCTCGTGATCTTAATTATCATTGACACTCGTTGACAGGTGTGGCCCACGCGTCCGACATCAATGTCTTGACCAGCGATTCCAAGTATGTCTACACGGCTGCCGATAACGAGATCTTCGGCTGGAAATACGGCCACAAATGGGTAATGAATACCAATATATGAATCAATTAATGGATTATTAATACAAAGTTTGTGGTAATGGTATAGAAATGCAGATCATTTGTGGGATGCCTTCAGACCGTTGAACACGTCCTGCCATTTGGTCCCCATTTGATAGCAATAGACGCCGAAAACACACTCAGGGTTTGGGAGATCCGGACTCAAGAGCAGACACTAACCCTACCATTCAATGAGGAGTCGTTCCGCATGACGGCACTCATACACCCGTCCACTTATATCAACAAAATTCTGATCGGTTCCGCACAGGGAGCTCTTCAGTTGTGGAATCTTCGGACACAAACACTGATCCATACGTTCAAAGGATGGCAGAGTCGAGTGACACAGTTATCTCAAGCGCCGGCCATCGACATCGTAGCCATCGGTCTGGAGAACGGATCCATTTATATACATAACCTCCGCATCGATGAGACACTCATGAAGTTTCGACAGGAATGGGGTTCAGTGCAGTGCCTGAGCTTTCGCAGCGATGGACAACCGTTTATGGTGTCGGCCTCAATGTCCGGCCATTTGGCGGTTTGGAATTTAGAGCACAAGAGACTCGAGTCTCAGATGAGACACATTCATAGCGGACAAGTGGTCGGCACTACTTTCATCGAAAGGGAACCACTGCTGGTCACCAATTCGACGGATAATTCGCTGAAGATTTGGTGTTTCGATGAGTCCGACAGCACCGGACGTATTCTGTATCAACGCGAAGGGCACACGAAACCGCCCACAAGAATACGGTTTCACGGCTTCAAAGGCCAGTATGTTTTGAGCGCTGGTCTGGACTCGAGTTTGAGAGCGTTTTCCATATTCTCGGAGCGATTGAATCGAAACCTCGGAATCGCTTCATATAATAGAAAGTTATCCAAAAAGAAAGGCGTCCGCAAAGACACCCACCGTATGAAACCGATCGTCGATTTCACAGCCGGTATGCAAACCATTGCAATAAATTTGATGACAAATTGATTTGTGATTGCATTTGTAATATAGAGACCACTCGTGAGAAGGAATGGGATGGTATAGCGGCGTGTCATCGGAGGCTTAATACGGTGACCACCTGGTCCTTCGACAACTGCCGTATGGGTAAACATAAACTATTGCACCAACGGTTCGCCGGGCAATACAATGTTGTGGCACTGGTATGTGACTGATGTGTGAAATAATCATTTTTTACCCATATTTACATAATATTTTGTCAACAGTGCGTGTGTTTGAGTAGTTGTGGAAATTTTGTGACAATGGGTTATAATACGGGTCATGTCGACCGGTATAACATACAGTCAGGCATTCATAGGGCCACTTATGGCAAGAGAGGTAATTTAATGGCATAATGTTTAGGAATATAGTGGTGTTCATAAACTTTTAATTGATTTAAGCGCATGCAAGTGCTGTGAGAGGTGTGGCCAGTGATGGACTCAACCAGTTTGTCATAAGCGGTGGCAACGACTCTAAATTAAAGTTTTGGCGATTTAATGGCAAAGGATTGTTAGGTGAACTGACATTAGACGCACCCATCAGTCAATTGGTTTTACATAAAGAGAGGTTTGTTTTGCATTCAATTAGCGTATAATAAAACTTTAAATATCGGTCATTATCTAACATTTTCTTACAGCTCTCTATTAGCGGTATCTTTAGACAACTTTTACGTAAATATAATTGACTGCGAAATGCGTCGACCGATCCGTGTGTTGGGTCCGCACGGGAACCGCGTGACAGACATGTGCTTCAATAACGAGAGCCGTTGGCTCATCACCTCCAGTATGGACTCCATTATCCGTGTCTGGGATCTGCCGTTAGGTTTATTAGTGGACGCCTTTCGTGTGTCCACTCCTTGCGTCAGTCTCTCACTGTCACCGACCGGTGAGTTCTTGGCGACGGCTCACTCTGAAGAGGTCGGCATCTATTTGTGGGCAAACATCTCGCTGTACGCACCCATCACTCTGCGGCCATTGCCTCAAGACTTTGAACCTGTTTTGCTGGAAATGCCGGTTATTCGCAGCGATGAGGAAGAGGAGGAAGAAATGATTGAATCAAATGCCGTATTCGATGGCACCGAAGATGTAGAACAAATGGATACCAATGAAGATGTTGTATATAAATCACCGGAACAGTTGGCTAACGACTTGATAACATTGTCGTCGCTTCCGGACTCGAAGTGGAAAAATCTCTTGTGTTTGGATTTAATTAAAGTTAGTTTCGATTGAATTGTTTTTTACTTGAAATCTAATGAATTGTTTTTGTGTACAGAAACGGAATAAACCCAAAGAACCGGTACATAAGCCCGAAAACGCCCCCTTCTTTCTGCCGACAGTCGCGGGACTCGAACCCAAGTTTGCCATCGAAGACAAAGATGACCACAAGAATAAAGACAAACAAATTGATTCACATATTGTTGACAAATTGAAACCCATTTCAATGTTTGGAAAGTTAATCATTACATGCCATGAGAATGAGTCTAATTATGATCCACTGCTGGATCTCCTTAAAACGATGGGTCCCTCAGCCATCGACGCCGAGATCCGATCCCTATCCACACAACTCAATGGTTCGCCAAATCTGTTGATCTATTTTTTGGACGCAATGGAAGCGACGCTTAAGACTAATAAGGACTTCGAACTGATTCAGTCATATTTGGGATTATTCCTCAAAATACACACCGAAGACATCGTCACCAATGAAGCCCTTAAGACACGGTGCGAACAGTTATCCCAAATGACTGATGAGTTATGGGATAGACTATCGAAAGAGTTTAATAAGTCGTTGTGTTTAACAAATTACTTGCGAAGCGCTGTCCTATGAGTTAATAATGGGTTTTATTTAGTGATTATTTATGAGAAGATGTAATAAAAGCACGAATTTCTTTGTTTATGAAATCGAGAAACAATTGGTTCGGAATCAATGTTTTGCTGACTTTCATCTGCTGTATGAGCGACGACCGGTTCTCCTCAATGAACCCTTTGTTCACACCCCGAGTGGTGATCACTTTGCTGGAGGTCTTGAGCTGAGCGCCCAGTGCTGTGGCCGGGGGTTTCAGTTCCATTAGTATCTGTCGCTTATCCACAGTACTCATCACCTCTTCGATGATATCCGGTATGAATATATACGTGAAAAAGTAGGGGTAAGTGAACTTCTGCTGCCCCTGAGAGCCGTGAACTTTGGCCCCATTCCGCACGAATGACATACACGTCAGGAATAGTTGCACATTGTTTGGCCACTTGTACTGCGAGAGCACCAGTAGGTGACCGATGCCTACATCACTCGGTTTTAGGGATAATAACACTCTGTCTTTGAGACACATTATTATGACTTCTATTATGTAATTGAGTATATCGTCGACAGTAATCGGCAGGAAATACAGTTGTCGAGCGCTGACACTCGACTCGTGGGCGCCGTTGTCGGTGACCGTGGTTTTGCTTTTAGTGTCGTCGCAGGGGTTGTTCTTGAGGGGCAGACACTCGATGGAGTCGAGACAGTACTTAAGTGTGGCGTTATAGTCGTGAAGCATCAGTGACACCGATATCAGCTGTAAATTACTCTTAATATTCGGTGTCTTTCTGTTAGCTATTTGTGCGGAAACCTCGTTATATTCGGCTCTATATATGTTTGAGTCGATTACGAATGAGTGGTAAGAGTGACACGAATTCAATCCAATTGTTTCCGATATTTTGTATTCGGTGTCTTTCTGTTGGCTATTTGTGCGGAAACCTCGTTATATTCGGCTCTATATATGTTTGAGTCGATTACGAATGAGTGGTAAGAGTGACACGAATTCAATCCAATTGTTTCCGATATTTTGATAAAATCTAAACGAAAAGCATACAAATGAGATGAGAGGGCACTGGGATTCAAATGCCACGAAATTACCTGAACTTATGGTGAGATTCTCCTGAAGTAGTTTCAGCGCCTTAGAGGCGACCACAAAGATCTGCTTCATGTGGAGGTCGTGGGTCTGGAGGTCAGGTTCGGCCAGTTTTCGCTTCTTATTCAACGACAGCGCGATCTTAGTCTCGTTGAAGGCGTGGTTGGACTGCTCGATGAGTACGATGTCTGCGCTTAATGTCAGGTATTTGTGGAGACACTGGAGGAACAGGAGAAGAGTGGCGTAAAGGATCTGTTGGTTCGTGTGTTCGTCGCCGCCGATCATCGCAGTCGTGGCTGAACTCAAATCCATCGGCGAATCCGTGTCCCCTTTTATTTGTGGAGACACTGGAGGAACAGGAGAAGAGTGGCGTAAAGGATCTGTTGGTTCGTGTGTTCGTCGCCGCCGATCATCGCAGTCGTGGCTGAACTCAAATCCATCGGCGAATCCGTGTCCCCTTTGAACCGAAACTCGTCGATAAAGTGCGATATCTTGTCGTAAATCAGTTCCAATTGCTTCTCATTCAGAAAGTCGATGCTCTCGAAGAGCTTCCACTGGTTCTTGAGACCGATTAAGTGAAATATTTCGGACGCCTTGTGTTCCAGTATTTCGTTGGTCTCCTTATTACCGGAACCGCTGTCCTGATTGTCATCATTGGCGTCGAGGTTCTGGTAGTTTCGGTCGCTTAGCGGTGCAATCAGTTTCTCGACAAAGTATTTCAGTGTCTTTTGCATCAACTTCTTGATGACGTCCGACTCGAGAACTAGCGGCGAGTTTGTGGCAAAAATCAGTGGCAAGACATCAAAAACCAACTTTTTCTTCAAGTATCGACTCAAGTGGTGATCGGAATCACCTGTCGAGTCAACACCGCTCTCATCCATGATGTCAATCAATTTGATCCCAATCTCGACCACACTTTCGGGGAATCTCTTGAGTATAAACAGCAATAAATCGATTAAAACGAGTTTATCGTCAGTCCTATCGGCCACTCGTCTCAAGAGTTTGTACTGATATTCAGTGGACAGCGACGCGAAGAGTTTGGCGTAAAACTGAATGGATGTTTGGTTCAGATTCAACCAATTGTTGCCAAACAGTGAATGCATTTGTTGTTCATTCAAGTGATGGGTTTGCCATTCGTTACGACAAGAGATGATAATTTTGTTGAACTCTTGGCTCAGCTCTTGCTCGCAGTCTTTGGTGTCAAACATTTCGCACAAGTATTTCACCGCTTCCTCCACATTGCCGTCGCATTTGGACATCTCGTACGACTCCATCTGAACATCAAATCACATGTATTATCATCTAATGGATCCACGGGTGATGGTGTGACAGACCTTAATGGTGTCGTTGTGCGGGAACAGTGCGTTAGCGGTGATGACCCAACACTTGGCATAACTCGAGTCACCCGTCTTCAGGCAACTCTTGGCCCGCGATATCATGTAATGTCTCGTCTCGTCCTCATTGGTACTCGTCTTCACCATAGCTGATCCAATGCGGTGATCACTATATGTTAGCCGTAACTGTCAGTCAATTCAATGCAAGCGTTCAATGGTTTGTCTGTTTTGGGTGTCAAACCCGGGGGTCGTTCACACACAACGTCAACGCAAACACTGCACGTGTTTTGTGGACGTACCACAAAATGGCACTCAATTTGTGCAAACATTTGGTAAACAATTAAAACAAAAAACTCAATCAATTGTCACGAATTGTATCGGTGTTTGTAATTAAATTTAGTGTTAACCTAGTTTAATTTAGTGTTAACCTAGTTTAATTTAATATTTAATACATGTACCACTAAAAATAAAACTAATATCTAATTAGTTTTGACTTGAATACACACTTAATGAGTACACAATTGTATTGACTATCATATAGCCAGGTATTTCTCGCCATCATCCCCTAATTGTAATTGATACATTTATTTAACTATTTTTTAATTATAATTTACTATTTTCTCGATTCATCCTGATCATTTGACTCTATTTTTATATCTATTATATATATATGCAATTTGTTTGCAAACATAAATCCTATGTTTTATACTGTGTTTGTATGGCATTTGATTGAGTGTTCATTTGTGTCGACAGTTAATGCAGTTTTCAATGATATTTAGATTACTGTTAATCCCATAAGAGATTAGATTACTGTTAATCCCATACGAGATCAGAGTCTTAATTATCCGACATTTGATTGAATGCTATATGAATGCAATGAATGTCTCACTACTGACCGTAACATTCAAATTGAAGCAAATCATGTCATTTCAATGGGCAGTGGGCTGTATGGGGGCACAGCTGCGGGCTTTACCACCCGTTCCCCCCATTTGATAGCGAGGGGTACGCCGTTTAGGGACTAATTGAAAGCCCGGACCACTATTGAGATGATTGACAGCTGTATTGAATTGTATTACAATTGTTTGTAGTATTAATTAAAACAATGGCTTAATTGACATAAAATGTGATCAAAGCTCTCATGTCTCGCCATCTGACCATTCATTGGATCCGATGAATGACACGATAGTTGAGTTGAGATTTAGTAGCGTTTGAATCGATGAGATAATTAGTGACCGCAGATGACAGTGACCTATACGGCGAAGACATGAGGGCTTGAATGGCAGCACTACTGATGTAACCATACATTGCAATTGAATCTCTCTTTTAACAGTAGTTTTTTGGATAAATTGTTTCGCAATTTATTCAATCATTTGTTTAATATATAACTTAAATGAATGAATGGATTCAGACGTGTCTATAGGAAGTGCTAATTGAATCCAAATGTGGTTTTGATTCCCGAAAGGCACTCGTGTTTTGAGTGATTTATACCTCAAATTTCAATCCCATTAGTGGTGTTGTTATGGAGGAAGAGGATGTCCTGCAACTACTGACCGGTGATGACGAGTTCGACGCCGACATCGATGCCGACGCTGAAGAGGAGCTGCTCAGAGAGGACAGTGATGTCAACGCCTCGCATAAGCATCAGATGGAGACTAATGAGTCCATTGATGATGAAGAGGATGATGAGGATAGGGATGACGGCCGCAGAGGAAGGTTTAAGAGCGAGAGAATCATGTCTTTAGTGTCGGTTCCGTCGCGAAGACACGAAATACCCGATACGTTAGAGTCGGTGAAAGTGAATGAGAAGAACCATCAGAATCGCAGTCATTATAACAATAGGCGACACAATAGTAGCCATAACTCTAATCCACAGAAGTATCGCAATTCACACCCGAATCACACCACAAATGATGCTCACAATCGACACAATAATTATCGACAAAACCAGGGATTACTTCCGTTGCCGCAGCCAATGGGCAGTCAACCCATGGTTGTACAGCACTCGAGTCCATTACATCCACAACAACCACCACCGCATCCACAGCCGCCACAGCAACGAATGCCTCTGATTGGTCCCAATATTGCTAATATGTATGGACAGCCAACTAATGCCAACCCCATCCCCAATTCGGTGAACACCATTCACGTGAACCCCCACTTCAGGGCCCGAGTGCCCAATCAGTTTGATCTCTCGCAGAGCGTAAGACCTCTGGACCAGCCGTTCAGACCTCAAGTCCCCGTTGGCCTCCAATCGCGGCATCAATTCCCACAACAAAACGTCAATACTTCTCAGCAAATGCTATTCAACCCACAAATGAATCATCAAATGAGACCTCAATTCATTGGTAACAATAACTCATACAACGATCAAACCATTCCTCAAATGCCTCCACAACTGCGACCACAACAGCAACAGCAACCACTTATACAGCATCCGCCACAACAGCAACATAACCAACACTTCCAGGTGTGTGTCAATTGATTCGCTCTTAAGACTACTTATAGTTGACTGAGATTTTCATTTATGTGCAGCAAATGGACACTCAATGGAGAGGTGGAGGCAATGTCCACAACATGTATCCAATGCAACACAATTTGGGTCAACAGCTAATACCACAGCAAATGTCAATGAATAGGCCGCCAAATGCTATGATGAATGTATCACAGCCTCCACTACCACAGCAACAGCAGCACAACTTTGTGCCCAATAATAATCACTCGTATAATACAAATTACCAACAAAATCAACAGCTTATGGGTGGCCCCACTCAGCCCATCCAGACATCACACCCGACACATCCCATGCATAACAGTTATAACACTCCACAGCACTACCAGTTGATGGATAATCAGCAAAGATTTCCTGTTCAACACAATTACAATCAAATCCCGACATTAGGCCAACAAAACAGTCAACCGTTTCAGTCGCCGCCCAATCAGCAGATGTTTAATAAACCAAATCATCATAACATGAATCAAATGAAGCCTATCGTGAATAAAAGGCCGGCATTTCAGTCGCAATCATCGCAAGAGAGGCCTAACAGAGGGTTTGGTGGCGAACAACAGCACCCGAGAGGCACCGATAGCTTGAAAGCGGCCCAATTGCGGACAAAACGGGCCAAACAGTTGTTGACTAAAAAGCAACAGAACATCAAAGAGGTGCCGATCGTGAGGAACACCGGCGCCGCACCGGTAGTCGAGAATCAGCAGCAGAGGGCTAACAAAGAGATTGAGGCGGCGGTCGGTGTGGACGAGGAGTACAAGAAGAAAATGGAGGAACAGAAACGTCTTCGCGAAGAGATTCTGCGTAAGAAAGAGGAGCGAAGGAAAGCGACGGCCGCTCAGCGTTTGAGGGCGTCGGGAGGCGGCCCACCGGTGCCACAGTTGCCGCCCATGAAAGCGCCGGTAGTTCAGCCGAATACTGCGGTTAGACCTCCACAGCAACAACAGATCGCGACATTACTGAACCGATCGCCACAACTGATGAAACAATTACCACAACAGACAGCGAGACGTGTCATGATTCCGACGACGAATACTAATAGCAAACCAGTGCTCAATCGAGTGGTAGTGAACCCGAATCAGAAGCGGTCGGTGCTTATCAAAGGGTTGGCCGCCTCTACCAATGAGATGGCCATTAGACGGCTGTGCAAACCGATCGGTGCTATCGAGTCGTGTAAGATTGTGACGATTGGCGGCCAAAGGAGTGGAACCGTGACTTTCATGCGAAGACAGGACGCCGTCGCCTTTCAGACCAAATACGAGCGAACCCTTCTGGACCTCTGTGTCATTCAAGTGTCACTCATTTAAATGCATTTTTCATTCAAATTAACATATTTTCAGTCTAATTGTATTATAAACAGAGTCTGTATTACAGACGACTACTAAATCATTTGATACGCTATTAACGTTTGTAAAAAATAATTTAAAAAGCATTCGCTCTCTCATTCAAAATCATTAATAAAATACATTATCCGTAATATTTGTGTCATTATTAGTCATTATTAGTCATTATTGGAGTAAATGTAGGGTTTTTGTAGACTTTTAAGGCCTTAACTCACTTCGCCATCCTTTCCTCAGTTTGAGTGCTAAGTAGCGAACCATTTGTTTGAATCTCTGATCGTAAGCCACGTTATTATTCTGTTTGGATCCCAGGTATAACTCCCGGCCCACCACTTGAGACCAATTGCCAGCAAACGTGTTGGGGTCGAAACCAACCCATTCGGTGTAACTCATGTACCCATTCTTCATAGAGTAGCCCATAATCTTGATATCCTTGAGCACCGGCTGATCGCTATTAGGTTGTGGGGTAGCATTGGGTCGCGGGTATTGTGTGAATGCAAAGCGTTTCCACTTTTTGATGGTTTTTATAGGATTTAAAAGTGGTTTAACCGAAACGCCTTCACTGCAAACAATTTGTGTGACATTTTCTGGGCAAATGTGTGCCACCGGAAGGCCGGCCAAATCAGACAGAGTCGGGAATATGTCCACCAATTCTACTATTTCTCTGATTTCGGTTATTTTATTTAATTTATAGCTGTTTTTCCGTAGATTCTGATCTAATGGACTCATGTATTGATAATTAATGGTAGCATTCATGTGAGGCATTGATATAATAAGTGGTACTCTGACGGAGACATCAAAGTTACTATATTTTGACCACTCGTTGTGTTCACCCAATGACCAACCTTTGGAGCAAGATCATTTAAATTATATTTTGTAAACTTGATCTCTAAATAGGAAAATAACTGAGCTTGATGGGCCATTTAGGAACCTATAACTAAATTACTGTAATTTCATATTTAATTTTCTCTTATTTTAATTTAGTTTTATAAAACAATTCTAGATTATTATCACCAATTATCAGTAAAATATTTGACATTTTTATTAAGTTAATAACTTATATATCTATTTTTAAATATCCATTAAAATTAAATAACTAGTAATAATTGCATTAATGGTTTTAAATATTTTTATAATAAAGTGTTCTCGATGTCTATGATATTCTTAACCAGAATTTCTGATACAACAATGTTGTAACAAAATATTATAATTTATAATGATTAAAATTATGAAAAAGTATATTTCAAAATAAAAATCTTCATTTAATTAAAAACAATATATTATTTGCTAAAAATATTTTAAGTTTAAGTCGTTATGAGCCATAAATTCATGATTGGATATTACTGTTAAAACTATAACTCTTAAGATTCTTATATTCATTAATTTATGTTTAGTTGACATCTCATCGTATTCTCTAGTAATAGAAACTCATATAAAGACAAAATGTATTACAAATGAGTCTAAAGTTTGGACTCATTTTTCTTTTATGCACAACAATCACAAGTTTGTATAAACTTGTAATAAATCTTTACTTATATGTCCATCCATGCCATTACTCTAAAAAGTCTAAACATCTTAATATAACTTAGTATATGACATATATTCCTATTAACTATTATTATAATAAATTGTTATAAAAATATTTGAAGCAATTAAACAATTATTTATAATTTAGACTTTAATGAACTTTCTCATTTGTTCATGTAATATTAATAAATGAACACTACTGAACGGTAATGTAATATTAAGATAAAATGCCACAAACCGTGATCCCCTAATAACATAATGATTGTATTGTTAGCCAACTGTTTATCATTTAATTTCTGTAATACTTGTCCGATTTGGTCATCAATATATGAAACACAAGCGTAATATGATTGCCTGATATATCTCTAAAAATATAACTAATATTTATACTGCATTTACATTTTTAATATATTGTTCATTGGATTACTTGATAAAAATCGGGAATACCACCAAAAGGGAAACTTATATTAAATTGTTTGATGTCATCCCTGGACTTCATATCCATCCATGGATTCCAGGCTACTTCAGGCATATGTTTAGGTATATATCGATTTGTGGCTAAATTTATTGCAGACAATGGATACAAGTCCAAGAACTCTTTGGGACATTTGAGGGGAATGTGAGGCTTATGGTAACCAAGAGCTAAGAAAAATGGGTTTCCATTTGTTGTGTTATAATTATGTAGGAAATTGAGTGTAAATTGTGTCGATTGAATGTCTGGTAAAGTCATCTCTGGTTGTTTAGCCACATCCACGGGACAGACAATGTTTGTGCGAAATACACCATCAAGTGATGGACATACGGCCGAAAACTTGTATTTTTCAGTTGACCCGTGAAATGGAGGCGCAGACCAACTCAGAGGGTAGTCGTCGCTATGGTTGGATACTATGCCTACAATTCATGTAAAGATTTAAAATGATTTATAATTAAATATTTTAAAAATTATTTTAGTTAATTCTATGAAAATAGTACTGGTATGTATACCCGGGTGAAACACTTTTCCTACACTTTGTGTGAAATAATTAAATTGTTTGAAATATTGCGGTAAAGATGTAAAATTGGCGACACTTTTGCGCCAATACGAGTGGCTGTCATAAAGGTGTATGGAGTCGGGTCTCCGCGATGTTAACAGTGATGTACGACTGGGGGCGCACAGGGCTTGCTAACAATTAAACCAGTTACATTTTGTACAATACATTATAAAATTAAAATCATATAATATACCAGTTAAAAAATACCGGTATGTGTTTAAGCATTAACTTTAAATTTTGATATTCTTTATGAATGTTGATGCTAGCTACTTTGTTAGGTACTTGTAATAATTATCAGAAATTTTTAAATACCTGTGCGAAAGTATTGGTGAAAATATATCCATTTGTGGCGATCTGATCGATGTTAGGAGTGATGGCAATGGGATCACCAAAACATGAGAGGGTAGGCCTCAAGTCATCGATTATAATGAATAATATATTTGGAGCACAGGATATACAGCGAAATGAAATGATTATCAAAATATGAGTTAACGTGAATAATATAGTAAAATTCAATTTGCAATCCATATACATAATATGCATTTTGTGTGTTTATTCAAAAATACAAATATTCAAAAGTTATCTCAAAATGCAAACACAGTTTTGATTCAATAAATTGATAATAGAGTTGAATATGAAATAAGCGCTGAAATGGATGGCCCACCAAATGATTGATGAGACGCTGAGTACTTGTATATAATGTGTTGTATATGTTATATAACTTTATTTTCAATTGAATTTGTTTTCATAAATCATTTAATTGTGAGTCGTTTACGAGAGAAATGGGAGTTTTTGTCTGCATTTTTAAAACCATCCTAATATGCGATTCACGACCCGTTTGAATAGCATTTTATGAGTGAATATTGCACTCAATTTATTTGATATCATAGATATTTTATTTCCACATTCAATTCAAATAACTTTTCATCCAAAATGATTTTCTATTAAAATTGTCAAATGTTTCACAACTCCAGTATTGAAAGACTGAAGCAATTCAATTGAGCATTGAATACAGAATATTCTTAAAGTTTAAAAGTTTTATATTAAAACTTGATTTTTTTGGTTCAGTACCATAATACCGGTAGTTAATGAGTATAGTTACAATGTGACAACATAATTAATAAAATTTGTTTAAATTAACAGTTGTAGATTTTTCTTATTCTATGATATTTATTATTATTTTCTAATTACTTTATTAATTTTTTAAATCTACAATAATAATGTAATGTATAATGTACGGTAAAAATCAATGTTTTATAAGCATAATATGGAGAATATTATTTTTTAAAATGAATAAATGCCATTCAATAGTAAGACAAAGTTATATAAAATTAATGTGTATTAAATACACTGTATTTTGAAAACAATTGAAAGGATGTGTTATTAATCCTTGTATTCAGTTCTCTATTACATTTGTAAACATTATTCAAGCATTTATAATAATAATATAAACAATTTTCTTAGCATAATCCTTAAACTTATAAATATTATACAAAACATAAAACTAATTAACAAATTAAATATGGTTACAATTCGTTTTTATATTCTATCGACAAATTTTTAGATAAAGTATTTTTTTAATAAATATTAATAATTAATTCACACAATGCTTTCGTATATCAAATACATTACAATTGTTTATAACTTTTTATACGGCGTACTGGGAGTCATGACCATTGGTCTGTCCACTTACTTATCGTTGGACTCCCAGAACTACATGAGCCTCAACGGAATGGACAGGTATTATGTCTCACCATTCATAGCGCTACTCATAGTGGGAGGGCTGATGACAATCGTGGCATTTCTAGGCTGCTGTGGCACTGTCAGACAGTCACCCTGGTTATTGGGCGCCTACATACTGGTATGCGCGATAATGTGTGCCGTGTGCGGGGCATCGCTAGTGTGGGCCATTCAATACGAACGTACCATAAGTGACAAGATATCGAGCGGTACTCGAGAGTTAATTTACGAGAACTACGGGTCGGACCCCACGAGACCCACCGAAATGCTTATCGATCGCATTCAGCGAGACTTTCGGTGCTGCGGGTGGTCGGCGCCTACCGACTGGATGTACGCCGACTATAATAAGCTTCGCAAAAGGGACAGTTCGTTGGGAGGGCTTAAATATTTTCCGCTACGGATTCCGCACTCCTGTTGCCGCCGTCCCTCGACCCCCGACTGCCACAGAGAGACCACACGAGTGACAGACTCGCGATATATCGCAAAAATCAAGACTATCTATAAGACAGGCTGTGGCACACCATTTGAGCACTTCATACGAGACAAGTGGAGGTGTATTTTGATGATAAATGGGATACTGATTGGTGTCCACTTGTGTGCACTCACCATAGCCTGTGTCCTGTGTTTTATGATCTTTCGAGTGACCAATATTTATATGAAATAATCAATTCATATCGTTTTTGTAATGTTTCTCATATTACTGTAATATTATAAATTAAATTTAATTATGTTATATTTTTTATTAGAGATGAATATTTTATTGCCATGTTTGTATTTCCCAATTAAGAATTTAAAAACTGCAGAAATATTATTATTTTATAAAAATAGATGTGGTTTATAATTACTATTAATAAAATCGTATTTCATGTTAAAATTATGTAAAGAATCGACAAAATAAAACTTATTTGCCTTGATTATAGATTGTGTATTTTAATGGCATAACTCTCCAGGGCAAGTTATGGTGTAGGTTTTACTTAGTTTATGGATGTATTCATTAAATATAAGAAAATAACATAATACAATGTTTAAGTTTTCACTATTTATATGCACTATTAATAATTTAAAAATTATTTTTAAATGTAAAATATAAGCAATACTTAATTAGTGAGACAGAATAATATATGAAATTAATGAGCTATAAATCCTTGTATTAAGTTCTCCATTACATTAGTAAACATTGTTTAAGTATTAAATATAAACAAAATTCTTAACACAATCCTTAAACTTATAAACAATAGTTATGTAATACTTAAAATCAATTAAATATGCTTATATTTTATGTTTATATTATTGTAGACAAACCATTTTTCATTGAATATAATTGATTAGAACTTTTACTTTTGAAGTGTAGTTCCCATTCACGCAATGCTCTCGTATATCAAATACTTTGTAGTTTTCTTTAACTTCTTATACGGTTTACTCGGAGTCCTAATCCTTGGTCTGTCGGCGTACTTATGGTGGAACTCCCAGAACTACCTGTATCTGAACCAAGTGGACTGGTATTATGTCTCGCCATTCATAGTCCTCCTCATACTGGGAGGGGTGATGTCATTCGTGGGCTTTGTTGGATGCTGTGGTACTGTCCGAGAATCATTCTGGTTATTATGCACCTACATACTATTATGCGTGACAATGTGCATAGCGTGCGGGGCATCACTGCTGTGGGACATTCACAACGAACGCACCGTAAGGGACAGGATTACGAGCGACACTCTGAGGCTATTTCAAGTGGACTACGGGTTGGGCGACACCTACGGCACCACCGAAATGCTTGTCGACCGCATCCAACGAGACTTCCGGTGCTGTGGGTGGTGGGAGGGACCCTATGATTGGCTCAACGCTGGCTATAATAAGGCCAACAAAAATGGACTGACATTTAAGAGGGGCATCAAAGGGTCAGAATATGGTCAGTGGTTATGGATTCCGCACTCATGTTGTCATTACCCCTCGTCCTACGAGTGCGAGAGAGAGACCAAACAAGTAACTGACATCAGATATGTTGAGAATATGAAGATTATCTATAAGACTGGTTGTGGTATACTGTTTGAGCAATTCATACGAGACATATGGCAGTGGATTGTGATCATCGGTGGTGTACTGATTGGCGTCCAGTTGTTTGCACTCATCATAGCCTGTGTCTCGTGTTTTGCGATCTCCCGAGTGGGCGATAAGTAATGGTATGAATGGGTTGGGATTTAGTGTACAAGATCATATTATAAGATTTTGGAAAAACTATTTTCTAGTTATATTATTTTTAAAGTTTAATTGATTTCATGATATTTCAGTTTCTTTATAAATTTTTATATTTTATATGAATTTATTAAATTAATATTTTCCAGTAATATTGTATAATTTGTGGTAATACTTGTATAGTTGTAATACAAATAAATGCTTTTTACTTTCTACTAATTAAAAAACTCATTAATTTTAAGCTCATATTTAAAGAATATTCTTTAAAATCTTGCAAATAATATTAACTCTCAATATTGAGTGACATTTATGTGAATGTTAATGTGTATTAACATTACAGAGTATACCGTAATAATGTAGAATAATAATGTTATAAATTATTGTATGATAAGTTTTCTATTATGGTAAATAAGGTTTAAGTATGGTATTAGCAATTACACCTCCATATTCACAGTAACAATGGCATAGCCTCCTACCACATCATAAATGTAACATATTGCTAATGCTATATGGAAAACTTGTAAAATTCTTTTAATTATGTTATAATTTTTGGGAACATAAAATATTTATATTGTAAGTTACTAGGACACAAACTTGATTCACAAATTATGACCCAGACACCAATTGTGAGAAATACAATTTATATAGACTCTATAATATAGAGATTTATAATTTATCAATTAACTGTTAATTATAAATATAAATAAATAAAATAAACAAAAAATACAAAATGGTTAAATATAAAATTAATTTGCATAATAATAATAACTGAAAAGATGTAAAAATCCTTGTATTTAGTTCTCTATTACATTAGTAAACATTAGTCAAGCATTTGATATAAACAATCTCCTTTAAATCTATAAACATATTGTAATAATTAGCATAGTTATCATTCTTACATATTATTTAAATATACTTTTTAGATAAACTTTTTTAATGACAGACATGTATACAGTTATAACATAATGACAGTTATAATGACAGGTATACAGTTATAATGATCGTATAACATACCATCAATTTATTAAAAAGATTATTAGTAATAATTTATTGCACATAATCTCATTGAATGTTAAAATTGATTTGAAGTGTAATTCCCATTCACACAATGGTCTCACATATAAAATATATTGCAATTGTTTATAACTTCCTATACGGATTACTGGGAGTCCTAACCATTGGTATGTCCACGTACTTGTGGTCATATTCAGAAACCTATCTCTACGTCAATGCAGTGGACATATATTATATAACACCACTCGTAATGATATTAATCATGGGAGTTATGATGACCATCGTAAGCTTTATTGGGTGTAATATTGGTAGTATTACCCGAAAATCACCATGGTTATTTAGCGCATACATATTATGTTTCATAACAATGAGCGGGGTTTGCGGGAGGTCCCTATTGTGGGTCATTCACAACGAACATACCGTGAGAGAGGGTATTATGAGTGACACCGAGCGGGCAATTCGGG